CGTCCCCCGCAGCCAGACGGGGGGAGGGGAGAGTCTGGTGCCAGGACTGGGCCGGGCGAGGCGTGGCTTGGCGCAGCGAGCTGGGAGCGAAAGGGTTACTTATGGGCTGACGCAAACTTGGGCCGGGAAATTGAGGGTTAATGAGAAAAGCCTTATTTTAATAGTAGTTAACCTGCCGAGCCTCCCTACCTGGGACCTATTAGGGAACTTCCCAATGAGGTACCCCGTGCAAGGTGGCACTGGTTTGAGTCCCTTGAGGATTGTTTTTTGGGGAAGGGGGTGGGTTTTTAAGTGCTGGGATTTAACTTAATTCTCTGAAGGGTTAAAATGGCAGAACTGAGTTAGGGTGGGAGAGTATTCCGAAAACCCAGTGTCCCAGCCTGTGCACACCCAGGTGTGTGTGCGCACCCCGGTGTGTGCTTGTACCCAGGTGTGCATGCGTGTACCCCGGTGTGTGCTTGTACCCAGGTGTGTGTGCTTGTACCCAGGTATGTGTGCTTGTGCCCAGGTGTGTGTGCTTGTACCCAGGTGTGAGTGGCGCGTACCCAGGTATGTGTGCTTGTACCCAGGTGTGTGTGCTTGTACCCAGGTGTGAGTGGCGCGTACCCAGGTATGTGTGCTTGTACCCAGGTGTGCATGCTTGTACCCAAGTGTGTGTGCACATACCCAGATGTGTGTACCCAGGTGTGTATGTGTACTCAAGTGTGTGTGTGCACCCAGGTATGTGTGTATACCCCGTGTGTGCATGTGCACCCAGGTGTGTGTGCACTTACCCAGGTGTGTGTGTACATATCCAGGTGTGTGCGCGTACTCAGATGTGTGTGCGCGTACCCAGGTGTGTGCGTGTATCCAGGTGTGTGTGTGCACCCAGGTGTGTGTGTGTGTACCCCAGTGTGTGCATGTATCCAGGTGTGTGCATGTGTGTGCGCACCCAGGTATGTGTGTGTGCATGCACCCAGGTGTGTGTTTATCCAGGTGTGTGTGTACCCAGGTGTGTGTGTGTGTAGTCCAGTGTGCACATGCACCCAGGTGTGTACATCGGAGAGTGTGGTTGTGTTCGGACCCAGACTGATCCCCACTCTGCTGTCGGGCTCCCCCACTGTCTGCAGGCCAGGCTGGTGTGTGGCGGGCCCTCTTCTCCCCCTCCCCCCCGTGGGTCACCTCTGGGTGAGAAGCTGTGGCGGGTGGGTTTGGACGCATCACAGCCTGACCCTTTGCTGGAATCCCATCGAGTGTGGAGTTGTTCACACGCCTTGTGGCCACCCTGGGTCCCAGACTGTCTGTCCCCTGGCCTGCCAACTACTCTGCTTGAGAGAAGGCTTCAGTCTCTGCTGGGGAGTGGCCAGTCCAGTTCTGGGAGCCTTTCCCTCCCCTCACCCGGGGAGCAGCGGCCCCGGGACAGTTCAGGGGCAGGCCTGCCCCGTGGAGTCCGGGCAGCTGATTCAGTGCTGAGCCTCCCGATCCCGTGGGCCGTGTAAGTACCTCCTGAGACCCAGGAGGCCTGGAGGCTGCCTGGAAGAGGTCCTGGTTACCCTGCAGCAGGGACAGGCTGGCACAGTGATCCTGCTCTGCAGCCACCCTGCCCTGCAGGGGCCTTCTGTGGAGAAAACCTCAGTGCACAGGACGGGATGTCGCTCTCGTTGCCACTTGGAGGTAGCTGCTCTCACCCTGTGCACAGCGCTTCCCAGCCCATCCTCGCAGATTCTGAGGGAAGAGTCAGATGCCAGATGCCCCCCCACAGCTCCTCCTCGGTCCTCCTCAGGGCAGGGCCCCGGGCGAAGCTGGTGCTTGTCTCCAGTCTGGAGAGACAGGACCCGCATGGGGACACAGAACCCACAGCACTGTGAGCGCCCCACATGGTCTGCCCCGGGCTGCTCCCTCTGTCCCTCGGATGGGCTGTACTTTCTCGTTTCTGGGCCGTTCTCCATGCCACTGTGCCCCCACCCCCCACTGTCCCTAGACTTGTGTGATGGTGTGTCCCTAGGAGGAGCGCGTCGACCCTCCCATCAGCGGATTTGCCAAACTGCGTGTCATGCTTCGTTCAGTGTGTGTCATCAAATCCAAGCAAAGCACACTCCGGGGATAGAAACGCGAGTCCCACAGCCCTGTGGCCCAGTGAGCCGTCCTGCATGGTCTGTTGGAGACGGATCTGTTCCACTCTGGGGCTCCTTTCCCAAGAGTCTGTGTGCACGCTGACCCATGAGCCACGTCCTGTGCACGTTCCGAGGGCCTCCACCGGCTGGTAGTGGCCTGGCCCAGCAGGGGCCGTCTCCACGTGGCACCTGGTGGAGACCCAGCCACACGTCCCTGTCTGTGTGTGTGGAACTCGTGAACGAACCGGGCACAGCACATGGGTTCTGGGAGCGCAGGGCAGGGGTCTGAAGGCCTGTAGATCGTGACCAGGGCGAGACCAGGCGAAGGGTGTCCCAGGAGAGAGTTGTGGCTGTGACATCCTGGCCGTGGTGGGTCACGTTGGGGGATGGGTCTGCAGGTGTGTGCTGAGCACTGAAGCCGGAGATGTGAGTGACCTCCAGTGGCCAGCCGGGAGCGTTGGGTCTCCCCGGCCTGACCGCTCTGCAGACCAGGAGTGACACGGTCACACTGGTGGTTCAGGAAGGGGCCCTGTGGTATGGGGGTGACACAGCTGACATGGGAAGCCCAGGCCTTGCTCTCCGTGAGAGATGCCATGCCCCTCAATGTGGGGTCAGGAGGCAGACGCAGGGCAGGCTGGTGGCTGACCCCTGGTGGCAGGGGGTTAGAGAGATGCTAGGTTTCTAGCATCGTGGTGGCCAGAGGGTGACGACTTGGATTTGGGGCAGTTCTGCTTGGGGTAGTCGGGGGAGGCCCAAGACTTTCCTGCCACCATCCGAATTCCCAGGCCTCCCCTTCTCTGGGCTCCTCCCTCTCCATGCCCTTTAAACCCTCTGGGGGCTGTGCCTGATGCTTTTGAAGAGGCCACTGGCCACGGGTCCCTTCTCCGGCTGCAGCATTCGGCCCAGCTCTGCTGCTTTGCCACATTTCCAACTCTGTACAGGGACCCCGTGGAAGTGGTAATTGCATGTGGCCCCTGGCGAGCCCCAGGCTGCAGGGGCCAGGCTCACCCCGAGGGCTGAGGGAGTTTGAGTCCCTGCTGCGCTCACCGTCTGCAGCTCTTCATAGAATTCGTGGGAAGTGCGTATTAGGAAAAACTGCATGGGCTTCAGAATAGGTGCACCTCGCTCACCTGTACTTGTTGAACATTTCATTTTAAATTCTAAGTTTTTTCTTTTTTTTCCCTTGGAGAGATTTTCGCTGTAGGGCGCCGCGTGCACTCGCCAGACAGACAGAGAGAGACATAGAGACAGAAAACGAGAAATCATTCCCCCACGGGGGGATGGTCATGTTGCAATCCCTTCTCCTCCATTCTCCTCTCGGGATCATGGGCATGCATGCACGCGCGCCCAGCGTGAGTTTTAAGCCACTGGGTCCAGGACACGAACCACAGTCGACTACGTGGGAGTCCAGCGACATAGCCATTATGCTAACTGCTGGTTCCCCTAAGTTTTTTCTTATTGCCAGAGGGCACACGTGCTCACCAGAGGGCGAGTGAGAGTAGGAGGGTACCTCACTGAGACGTGGTCGGGTGGTCTTCTTCCATCTCCTGTCAGGGTCTCAGGTGCACACGCACGTGCGCCTGGTGTGTTTTTCAAGCTGAACCTGGGATTTGAACCATGGTCTGCCATGTCAACCCCGGCTTCCACAGCACAGCCCTTATCCCCGTGCCACCGCGTGGCTCGCTTTCCCGGACGTGGATCCCATTTTCCCAGGGAGGTTGCGTCGCACCGTGTCGGGCTGGCGTTAGGTCGTACACCATCGTACACGTCTCGGCCTCTGCACCGGGTGAGGCGCGACAAAGATGCCCCTTCTCGGCGGCTGTCGGCGACCAGGCGTGTGCAGACAAGCAAGTTACGAGAGCCTACGGCAGTGAACCCCCACGCACACCCCGTCGCCGTTCTCCCCACACGGCCCTCCTTGTTAACACAAGAACGTAATGGAATGATCCCTTTTTTTCCAGAAAGCATAAAGGATGTTATTGGCAGAAAGACAAAAATTGTGGTGAAGAAGAGAGTGAAGCTGGAAGTGAGAGGAGACAGAGTTGAGAACAAAGTGCTGGTAGGTTGCTCTTCCTTCCGCGGAGGCGCTCGCAGGGGTGTCTGCCCCCCCGTCCGCTGCCTGGTCTCCACGCAGCTCTGCGCTGGGCTGCGTGTGTGGGTCAGCTCTCTCCCCCAGGTGTCTTTGCTGAGTCGGAGTTCCGTGTCAGAAGGAAGGTCATTTAAGTCGGAGGTCAAAATTTGTGGCTGGCTGTTACCCTTAGATCCTCTCTCAAGGCCTATTCTCTTTCTTTTTTAAGGTTCTTGTTTATGTATTTCAGGTTTTTGCCATTGGGCATGTGCGCTTGCCAGAGAGAGAGAGAGAGAGAGAGAGAGAGAGAGAGAGAATCCGCCTCTTGTGGGAATGGCCACACCACAATTTCTTTTGCTCCGTTCTCCTGGGATTTTGGGCACTCATGCTCACACACCTGGTGTGATTCTCAAGCTGCTGGATCTAGGGCTCGAACCACAGTCAGCCATGTGGGAGTCCAGCGCCTTGACCACCTGCTGGCCCCAGAACCTGTTCCATATTAATCAAGTTTGATCCTTAGTGGGGCTTGTTTGTTGTCTCCCGTGTGGGGCTGATTATATGACTTTACCTGTAAGGTCTTATGTTTACGTTAAAAATATTCATCTCATTTTGGTTTAAATATTTAATTAAACCTGTTTGGGATTGCCATGTGGTGCACGGGCCTGCCCGAGAGAGAGAGAGGGGGAGGAAGCCCCTCCTGGGGGAGGCCAGGCTGCAGAGGGCGAGAGGGAGGAAGTACCTCCTGGGGGAGGCCAGGCTGCAGAGGGCGAGAGGGAGGAAGTACCTCCTGGGGGAGGCCAGGCTGCAGAGGGCGAGAGGGAGGAAGTACCTCCTGGGGGAGGCCAGGCTGCAGAGGGCGAGAGGGAGGAAGTACCTCCTGGGGGAGGCCAGGCTGCAGAGGGCGAGAGGGAGGAAGTACCTCCTGGGGGAGGCCAGGCTGCAGAGGGCGAGAGGGAGGAAGTACCTCCTGGGGGAGGCCAGGCTGCAGAGGGCGAGAGGGAGGAAGTACCTCCTGGGGGAGGCCAGGCTGCAGAGGGCGAGAGGGAGGAAGTACCTCCTGGGGGAGGCCAGGCTGCAGAGGGCGAGAGGGAGGAAGTACCTCCTGGGGGAGGCCAGGCTGCAGAGGGCGAGAGGGAGGAAGTACCTCCTGGGGGAGGCCAGGCTGCAGAGGGCGAGAGGGAGGAAGTACCTCCTGGGGGAGGCCAGGCTGCAGAGGGCGAGAGGGAGGAAGTACCTCCTGGGGGAGGCCAGGCTGCAGAGGGCGAGAGGGAGGAAGTACCTCCTGGGGGAGGCCAGGCTGCAGAGGGCGAGAGGGAGGAAGTACCTCCTGGGGGAGGCCAGGCTGCAGAGGGCGAGAGGGAGGAAGTACCTCCTGGGGGAGGCCAGGCTGCAGAGGGCGAGAGGGAGGAAGTACCTCCTGGGGGAGGCCAGGCTGCAGAGGGCGAGAGGGAGGAAGTACCTCCTGGGGGAGGCCAGGCTGCAGAGGGCGAGAGGGAGGAAGTACCTCCTGGGGGAGGCCAGGCTGCAGAGGGCGAGAGGGAGGAAGTACCTCCTGGGGGAGGCCAGGCTGCAGAGGGCGAGAGGGAGGAAGTACCTCCTGGGGGAGGCCAGGCTGCAGAGGGCGAGAGGGAGGAAGTACCTCCTGGGGGAGGCCAGGCTGCAGAGGGCGAGAGGGAGGAAGTACCTCCTGGGGGAGGCCAGGCTGCAGAGGGCGAGAGGGAGGAAGTACCTCCTGGGGGAGGCCAGGCTGCAGAGGGCGAGAGGGAGGAAGTACCTCCTGGGGGAGGCCAGGCTGCAGAGGGCGAGAGGGAGGAAGTACCTCCTGGGGGAGGCCAGGCTGCAGAGGGCGAGAGGGAGGAAGTACCTCCTGGGGGAGGCCAGGCTGCAGAGGGCGAGAGGGAGGAAGTACCTCCTGGGGGAGGCCAGGCTGCAGAGGGCGAGAGGGAGGAAGTACCTCCTGGGGGAGGCCAGGCTGCAGAGGGCGAGAGGGAGGAAGTACCTCCTGGGGGAGGCCAGGCTGCAGAGGGCGAGAGGGAGGAAGTACCTCCTGGGGGAGGCCAGGCTGCAGAGGGCGAGAGGGAGGAAGTACCTCCTGGGGGAGGCCAGGCTGCAGAGGGCGAGAGGGAGGAAGTACCTCCTGGGGGAGGCCAGGCTGCAGAGGGCGAGAGGGAGGAAGTACCTCCTGGGGGAGGCCAGGCTGCAGAGGGCGAGAGGGAGGAAGTACCTCCTGGGGGAGGCCAGGCTGCAGAGGGCGAGAGGGAGGAAGTACCTCCTGGGGGAGGCCAGGCTGCAGAGGGCGAGAGGGAGGAAGTACCTCCTGGGGGAGGCCAGGCTGCAGAGGGCGAGAGGGAGGAAGTACCTCCTGGGGGAGGCCAGGCTGCAGAGGGCGAGAGGGAGGAAGTACCTCCTGGGGGAGGCCAGGCTGCAGAGGGCGAGAGGGAGGAAGTACCTCCTGGGGGAGGCCAGGCTGCAGAGGGCGAGAGGGAGGAAGTACCTCCTGGGGGAGGCCAGGCTGCAGAGGGCGAGAGGGAGGAAGTACCTCCTGGGGGAGGCCAGGCTGCAGAGGGCGAGAGGGAGGAAGTACCTCCTGGGGGAGGCCAGGCTGCAGAGGGCGAGAGGGAGGAAGTACCTCCTGGGGGAGGCCAGGCTGCAGAGGGCGAGAGGGAGGAAGTACCTCCTGGGGGAGGCCAGGCTGCAGAGGGCGAGAGGGAGGAAGTACCTCCTGGGGGAGGCCAGGCTGCAGAGGGCGAGAGGGAGGAAGTACCTCCTGGGGGAGGCCAGGCTGCAGAGGGCGAGAGGGAGGAAGTACCTCCTGGGGGAGGCCAGGCTGCAGAGGGCGAGAGGGAGGAAGTACCTCCTGGGGGAGGCCAGGCTGCAGAGGGCGAGAGGGAGGAAGTACCTCCTGGGGGAGGCCAGGCTGCAGAGGGCGAGAGGGAGGAAGTACCTCCTGGGGGAGGCCAGGCTGCAGAGGGCGAGAGGGAGGAAGTACCTCCTGGGGGAGGCCAGGCTGCAGAGGGCGAGAGGGAGGAAGTACCTCCTGGGGGAGGCCAGGCTGCAGAGGGCGAGAGGGAGGAAGTACCTCCTGGGGGAGGCCAGGCTGCAGAGGGCGAGAGGGAGGAAGTACCTCCTGGGGGAGGCCAGGCTGCAGAGGGCGAGAGGGAGGAAGTACCTCCTGGGGGAGGCCAGGCTGCAGAGGGCGAGAGGGAGGAAGTACCTCCTGGGGGAGGCCAGGCTGCAGAGGGCGAGAGGGAGGAAGTACCTCCTGGGGGAGGCCACGCTGCAGGCCCCTCTCCGTTTCTCCTTCCCGGCAGGACTTGGGGCGTGCACTCACATGCGCCTGGCATTAGTCACCCTGTGAGGTCTGGTCCCTTCACAGACCATGGGGTCAGCCCCTTTGATGGAACATCCCTGCAGTGCGGTAATGCTCCCGGCTTAGGGTGGCAATCTGAGCATGTCAACAAAGCCTGTTTTATTTTCGCGTCGGTGCTGGGCATTTCCGCAGGCGTCTCCTGCTGGGGGCAGGCTTTGCTTGTGCGGGGGTTGAGCTTGGGGACCCCCCAGTTTGTGAGGGGAACCCTGGGGGTGGTGAGAGAAGTGAGCAGGGCACGTATTCTTAGGAAACTGGTAGTGTCTCATGGCACTTTATGGCGATGGGGGACCTGTTGCGGCATTTTACTGCTCTCTCGGTTGAGATGTTGACAGACCTGAATGCGGGTGCGGGCGCATGTGCGTCTTTTATGTTTTGTTGGAGCCACCGTTTCCTCCTTATTTTTTCCCTTTAATTTGCCAGGAGGCGTGTGTGCTTGTCACAGAGGGAGAGGGAAGCCCGCCCGACGAAGCTTAGGCACGAGTAGCCCTTCCTCCGCCATTCCTCCATTTAGCTGGGACTGGGGCTTGGACACGGCGCCTGGCGTGCTTTCTCCAGCTGCTGGGACCAGGACTCGAACTGTGGTTGGCCGTGTGGGAACCAGCTTCCTACACCACTGGGCCATGGGGTCTGGCCCAAGTATATTCTTTTTTTTTTTTTTTTTTTTTTGAGATTTTTCCTTTTAGGGGGG